CATTTCCTTTTTTAATCAAAACAAAACAAAACTGGACGCAGTATTCTAGGTGTGGCCTTACAGACTGGTATTATTAACCCCCTTGACCTTGATTGCATCCCTCTGTTAATGCAGCTTAGGATCCCCTCCCTTGACAAAAAGGCATTTGGGGCTCTATTGTGGTCGTAAATCGAGGACTACCTGTACCTGTCGTTTTTGTTTTGTTTTGATTAAAAAAGGAAATGTATTGGAATCTTCCTGGAAATGGGAAACGCAGCAGCCAAATAAAAGGAGATTTGAGTCCTGCCAATTCAGGAGCAGCTGGCAGAGAGAGGGGAGAGAGAGGTGGGGGGGGGGGCGCAGAGGCATTCTCTTGGCTCCACCAATTTTGGGGAAGGAGTTACTCCAGGGCTGTGAGCTGCCTGCTATTGTGCCTGGGTGAGGGAGGGGGAGGATGGAGGAGAGGCTTGGGCAGGGGGAGCGTCGCCCCCTTTCCTTCTCCCTCCCTCGTCCCCTCCCTCGTCCCCTTCGGTTGGATTTGCTGGGCAAAGGACCGTTAGGAGCGAGGCGAATGAACGCGCTGCGAATGGGGGAAAACGGCGTTTGAAAAGGGCCTGGGGTCGAGATCGCGCAGTCTTGGGAACAGCCTTGCTCGCCCAGCCGCGAAGAGAGACGGACGGGAACCTCTGAGAATTGCCCCCCTCCCCAAAAGGGGTATGTGTGTGTGTGTGTGTGTGTTTTTTTTTGGGGGGGGGGTTTCCAGACCAGAGAAAGTGAGTGCTTGGGGGGGGGGGCTAAATGGATCTTTCTTTATTGCCACTTTTGAGAAAGGGTGCGGGGAGGGGGGATTCCAATTACAGGGAGGTTGAGGGATAAAGGAATGGGGGGAGCCCCCCAGTAAATCTGCCGTCGTTTGGAAAAGAAGGAAAGAATCGGCGTTCGTTTTATTTGGGGTGGGGGGTTCGGTCCCAGGGCTCGACGTGTAGAGGAAGAGACGTGCCTAGGTGGGGTGGGCGAAGGCTGCGGAACGGAGAAGGCGGCGAGGGTCTAAGGGCGAAACGGGGGTGAGAAAAACGGGGCGCGTGCAAAAATGGATGCTGGGCTCCGTGCATGCGTGTTCAAATCTGCGTTAAGAGTGCGCCGTTGGAGGAACGCGTGCTTCTGCGTATGTGTGCACGCCGGGGTGTGTATATATATATATGTGTGCGTGTGTGTGCTTAGATACGCGCGCACCTGCGCGTGTAATTTGGCAATTGCTAATCTAAGGGGGCCTTGGAAAGACGGACGCGGCGAATTTTAATCGGGATTTGTTTTGGGAGGGTGATGGTTACGACCCCCGCCCCACCCCACCCCACCGCCGAGGCTCCCCCTCCCTTAAATCAGAGAAAGTCCGATTCAGAGGGGTTTGGGGCGGATACAAGAACGACCACGAGAATTTTGTTTCGTTTTTAAATATTTTTCCGCCTCTCAAACAGGCTGGAAGGATAACCAGCCCTTGGAGGGGTAGGGAGAGGATGCGCGGGGCTCTAGGTTCTGCGCGGGTTGGTTGGTTGGTTGGTTTGCCGGTTTCTTTTTTTATTTTTAAAGATTTAGGATTTTCTTACTGGCGGGACTCGTCGCCACTCTGGATTGCTGGGAGGGGTCCCGACTGAAGCTAAAGCGCCTTTCTTCCTCCCGCGGTGGGAAAGAAAGCTGGGTTCCCGCAGCCACGGTCTCTTTGTTTGAGGAACAGTTGGTGGCCGGATGGAGGGTGTAGAGGGAAGGAGGAAGGAAGGAAGGAAGGAAGGAAGGAAGGAAGGAAGGAAGGAAGGAAGGAAGGAAGGAAGGAAGGAAAAAAGAAAGAAAGAAAAGGAAGGAGAGAGGGAAGGAAGAAAAGGAGAGAGAGAAGGAATGGAAAGGAAAAAATGAGGGAAGGAAGGAAAGAAGGGAAGAAAGAAGAAGGGAAGGGTTAGGGTTAAGAAGGAAAAGGGAAAAACGAGCGGGAGACGTGGAGAAAGAGAGAGACAAAGAACGAATCAGAGGAAGAAAAAAAGAGAAAGCAAAAAATAGAAAGAATGGAGAGAGGAAAATCTTCACGGAAATGGCCCTCTTCGATTGCAAAAAGAGGCGCATCTAAACCACCACCAGCCCCGCTGGGCCGAGAGGGCCAAACTAAGCCCGCATCGCCTCAACGCCAAACGAAGGAGCCCAGACGCCGGTTGGAAAACCGACCATAAAAAGGAGACCCTCCAACCTCTCAGGTGGGTCAGTATCCCCTCCCTTTTCCTCCTCCCCCCTTTTTCGTCCTTCATCCCCGGGGATGCTGGACCCCATTCCCCGGGAAGTGTTTTTTTCAGGCCTTCCCTTGATCCTGTCGTCCAGGCCGCCCAAAGACGGGGAAGGAAACACACAAACGCGGCGGTGAAGGGTTGTCTGGAGCAGGGGTCTCCAACCTTGGCAACTTTAAGCCTGGGGGACTTCAACTCCCAGAATTCCCCACCCCAGCCAGCCTGGGGGACTTCAACTCCCAGAATTCCCCACCCTAGCCAGCCTGGGGGACTTCAACTCCCAGAATTCCCCACCCCAGCCAGCCTGGGGGACTTCAACTCCCAGAATCCCCCAGCCAGCCTGGGGGACTTCAACTCCCAGAATCCCCCAGCCAGCCTGGGGGACTTCAACTCCCAGAATCCCCCAGCCAGCCTGGGGGAC